TGGTACAAATTGTATATTTCAAATAAAAAAAAAAAAATTCATATTAAAAAAGCACTAATCCAGTAAATTAATAACAAATAACTAATACATTGATACTGATATTTAATATTATCACAAATATCAAAAATATTTTTATACTAACTAAATTTGTATTTCTAGTAAAAATGTAGAAACACCACACACATTCTTATCATTTCAGGTGTAACCTGAGTTATTGTTATTAAAAAAATAATTATCTATTTTTTGAAGTTTGTTATATTTTAATTTATATTACTAACGTGTAATGATTTGAATCCAGTTATAGCAGTAATACTTGCATATGGTATACAGTCCTTAAACTGTTTGCAACCTGCAAGACTTAAATAGTTTAAGCGTTCCAGCTTAGCCAATGCATATAAACAATTTGGTAAAAACCAATCGTTGTTCGTCATTATAATTCGCTGTAGAAATACAAACAATTATTTTAAAAATATTGTGTAATCAAAATAAACATTTCTAAAATCATCTAAATTTAAATGTGTTTAGTACATAAAAATAAAAATAATTTACCTCCAGCTCTGGGCAAGCATTGTTTATACCACATAAATATGAAGAGCTGTCCGGAATGTTTTCAATAGTTGTATTATCAATTGTCAGCGTTTTTAATTTTCGATGCAAAATCTTTACACTTATCTACACAAAATATACATATTAGTAGGCAGTAAATCAGTTAAAATATTCAAGATAGAAACTGAAAAAGGATTTTTCTTACTTCACTGGCATCAAATACTTGATTTTTTAAAGTTAAATGTTGTAATTTTGGGCATTTTGTTTCTAATTGTATTAAAAATGTGTGAGTAGTTGAATAATCAGAACTTGGAGCATCATTACATGTTATAGACAATTCAGTGGTATCTTCTTTTAAGTAGCTCAAGTATACATCTTCCATGTATTTTTCAAACTTCTCAAATTTTGGTTTTTTCCAAAGAGTCCAATCATGACTAATTCTTAACAAGTTAGGGCATACTCTATAAAACCAAAGACAAAATTAATTAAGTTGCTTAATCTATTTTTAAGTAAGTTTACTCACAATGCCATTTTCGCAAGATTATCATGTGATAGATATTGAAATAAATACATAATAACATCATCCGATAAATCTTGAAAACCAACAATATCCTTTGAGGATTTAGGTAGTGATATAGTTTTTGTAATCGGAGATGTTTTAGATTTCTTTGTTTCAGTGTGTAAATATTGACATCCATCTTCTAAAGGTCTCTTGTTACTGTTTTCCATGTTATGAGATGTTCAAATCGCTCACAACTTCAACAAGAGATGAGTAACCTAAACGAGTTAAAACCGATTATGACATGAAAAATTATAATATAATAGGAGTATATTATAGAAAAAACAAACATTTATACATAATTATAATGATGGACATCAAAAATCGTACACATCAGTACATCACATTACTTACCCGCTACAGTTAAGAGTTGGTGAGGTGTGCAACTTGGATTTTAATTTAAATAACAGGGAAGTGTAAAGTTAATTTGGGGTTTTCGTACATTAATAGATCGTCAGGTGATTTGTTAAATCGTCGAAGACGAAACCACGAAACAGTAAAATAATATTATCGCACCGGACAGTCAGAGTATGACGTWTATGTGATAATATTAAATATTTGTTCTATATTATTATTACCTATGCAATAATCGCGATCGCGTAACTGATGTCTGGTGACTGGTAACTGTCTACAGTACTACACGGACTGCGGGCAACAGCTGGCTCATTCCACGATCTTCTGTAATAATAATTAAGATAATAATATTATTATTTATTATCAAGATGTCGATGAACTCAATGTGTTGAACTGTAGTTGAGTATCGACCTATCGAACACTATGTAATTGTAAATTATGTCTGATACTCCTCGGTGATAACTAGGAGGCRCTGATAATTATTGTTATTGTAATAATGTTCAATAGCAAGTTGCTAAACATAAAAAAACGTAACGTTTATTCRCGACAATAATATCATCTTTAAATTTTAAATTTTTATGACGCACTTGGTTGTTGACCAATGACCCTAATTGTCAACATTCATAATCATAAACGAGAAAAATAAATTTATAACACAACATAAACAAATGCAATGAAAATATGTATAATATCAACGATTTATGATTATATATGATTATGATTCTAAATCGATTTCTATAGCCTGCTCTGTATCTAGTTTATAAATTATAATACAAAACAATAGATCTTATGGTTTATAGGTCAATCGTCTATGCGAACCATCAATGTATTCGTCAGTCGTCTCGTCACTCGTCGGTCGGTTTTTGTCGCYCAACACCCGGTCTGCACTGTACCCAGTCACCCAGAGATTTCAGATGATAGATTTTAAACAATAATCAATAATCATTTTAGCTTAAAATCTTCGACTGTATAACCACGACACCAAAAATAATATTATTAATTATTATTACAGTTTTAAATAAACGTTTCCAATTTATAAAGACGAAAATTACATTTTTACCCAGAAATGATTAATTCACAAAACAATTTGGGCGTATTCTGAAATTTGACTACAAGTCACAAGGAGCTAATATTTTTTC